CCCCCGCCGCCCCCCCCGCCGGGCTCCTCCGGCGTGGCCGGCGCCCCCTCGTCCAGGCCGAAGAGCTTCTCCACGTGGTAGTGCACGTAGGCGGTCCGGTACTCCGCCACCACCCGCAGGGGCCAGGACAGCAGCAGGAAGGAGGCCCCCCAGAAGACGCGGCGGCGTGTGTACCAGGGGGCGCGGGCCGGGTCGGGGAACGCCACCATGTGCTCGCGGAAGTCCACGTTCTTCAGGTGCATGCCCTCCCGGGCCTCCATGTAGTCGTCCAGGCCCTCGTTGTCGGCGAAGAAGCGGGCGCGCTGGGTCAGGTAGGCGGTCTCGGCCTGGGCGCCGGCGAAGCTGAAGCACTTGGTGAAGCGCAGGCGGGTGGCGGGGTAGTCGTGCAGGCCCAGCAGCTCCTTGGACACGTCCTTGACCCCGTGCCGGGCGTAGTCGAACTCCGAGGCGGCCAGGTGGGTGTTGACGCGCTCGTGGTAGACCTGCGTGGTGGTGTAGGCGTCCCCGTTGCGGTAGCGGGTCACCTGCCGAGTGCGGCGGATGTAGTGGTAGCTGATGGCCTTCCACCAGATGCAGGGGGTGGCCTGCTGGAGGCGCTGCACGCGCTCGTAGACGGCGCTGATCTCCACGCGGGGCAGCGCGGCGCCCTTGGAGTGGCAGTGCCAGCACTCCACCAGGTAGACCACGTAGAGCATGGCCAGGAAGGCCAGCGGGATGTAGACGTAGCCGTTGGAGCAGGGGCTGTCGTGGTAGAGCCGGGCCTCGCCGAAGTAGCTGCTGTCCGCCGCCAGCACGGTGACGCGGTACAGGCTGCACCAGCCGAGCACGCCGAAGCAGCCGTACATCAGGAGGGTCAGGACCAGGCACTTCCAGTGGGACTCCCGGCACAGCGAGCCGCTCAGAGACTGCTTGAGGGGTCTCTGCTGCTGGGCGGAGACACGGGAAGGCGGGGGTGGGCGGGGCATGGAGGACAGGGGGCGGGGCATGGGGATAGGGGCGGGGTATGGTGGATAGGGGCGGAGCATGGGAGACAGGAGGCGGGGCATGGGAGACAGTGGCGGGGCATGGAGGACAGGGGGCGGGGCATGGGGGATAGGGCGGGGCATGGGAGACAGGGGGCGGGGTATGGTGGATAGGGGCGGGGCATGGGGGACAGGAGGCGGGGCATGAGAGACAGGGGCGGGGCATGGTGGATAGGGGGCGGGACATGGTGGATAAGGGGCGGGGACATAGAAGGGGGGCAGTGGGTCGGATGTGGGCGGGTATTGGG